GCCTCAAGTGTTAGCTATTTTAGTTGCTAGGATAATATTCAAAATGTAAGCACCGTATAGAGACCGAAAGGACACTACATGGGCTCCATCACAGAGTTATAATAAAATAAATAATACTGCCAAACCCCTAATCACAATAACCAGGGGGAGGGTGGGATTCAGGTTAACAAAACTGAACATTAAAAATGTGTTTTTATTTTTTGCAACACATGTCAATGAAATCTAAAGGATAATTAGATGATAATACTACAAAAAACTTGGATTTTTTAAATGTTGGAAAATACAGGAAACGGATAAATTCTTAGACACATATGACCTAACAAAATTTATGAGACTATGAGCAATTTAAGCAGATCCATAGCAATTAATAAGATTGAGGGCATAACACAAAGTCTCTTAACACATAAAAGCCCAGAACTAGAAGAATTAATTCACGGTTGAATTCTACCAAATCTAAAAAATTAAAAAGAAAAAAAAGACCTAGACCAACGTTTCTCCAAGTGTTCTATGAAGTAAAAGGGAAAGAATACTATCAAACTCACTCAAGAAAGCCAGCATTATCCCAATGCCAAAATTGAGTAAGGCCACTTCACAAAACCTCATAGAAATAAAGATTCTCAACAGAAGCCTCACATGTTGAATTTGAGAATACATAGAGACTACACACCATGACAAAGCTGGTTGGCTGTTAAGTATGGTTCAACATACATACATACATACATAAATAAATAAATAAATAAATAAATAATATACAACACAAAACGGCCTTAAGGACAGTTTTAAATCACAAGATTATGTCACCTTTGATAAAGTTTAACATCCTTTTTCCTCTTAAAACCATGGGGGGCGGGGAAAGCTGGGAATAAAAGGAACACAACCTCAATTTAGGAAATACTGGATATGACAAGCCTATCGCTAACATTGTACCAAGTAACGAAAAATGGAAAGCATTTCCTCTAAAATCATGAACAAGGCAAGGACACTCACTCTCTCTGTTCTTATTCAATACGACGCTCAAAATCTTAGCTAGAGAAACAATCTGGAAAAGGAAGAGATTCAAATGGGAAAGAAATTTAAACCCATTCACAGTTGCTGTGATCCTACACTTGAAAGATCTTAGAGCCCACAAGAAATTCTTAAACCCAACAAATACTTTCAGCAAAGGCAGAGTACAGAATTAGGAATCAAAAACCAGTAGGTTCTGTCTATAGCAATAGTAAACATGCTGAGAAAGAAATCAGTAAAACCATCCCGTCCATGAAAAAAGACCCCTAGAATGAACATTTTAAGACCCCAAGGCAAGAAAGTGAAGAAGGCCCATGCTCATGGAGTGGCAGAGTCAGTACTGCTTACATAATCTTCCCCCTTCTTCATATGTTAACCACAGACACCACCCCCATACAGACCATATATAAGTCAGGGGAGTGCTTGATTCTCTCTCAGCAGTTTGAAAAGAATGATTTGGAGCTAAACTCTCTCTCTCTCTCTCTCTCTCTCTCTCTCTCTCTCTCTCTCTCTCTCTGTGTGTGTGTGTGTGTGTGTGTGTGTGTGTGAGAGAGAGAGAGAGAGAGAGAGAGAGAGAGAGAAAACAGATTCACCATCTTAACTTTTTTGTAGTGTTGAAGATGCAATTCAGACCTTTGTGCAGGCTAAAAAATGTCTCATGCTGAGTTAGAATAATCTGATAATCATTTTACACCCACAGCAGGGTTGGCTACATGTACACTGTGCAGCACAAGTCTCTAGTTTAATAATCTTGTAGGATGGAAACGTTATACTTACCACCACTCCCCCAATTCTCCACAACCCCGGGTAACTGCCATTGTCCCTTTAGTTTGACTAATTAAAAATATCTACAATAGATGGGATTGTGTAGTATTTACGTTTTTCCCTTTAGATTTCTGTGTGTTTATATGTATGTGTGTAAATATTCATGTAGAGGACAACCGTGTTGTTCCTGGGGCATCATCTACTTTCATACCCAGCATTTGCTACTAGGGCTCTGATGATGTTTCTTCAGTTCCCATGCTTGCAAGGCAGGCACATAGTGACCCGAGCCATCTCTCCAGCCCTTGGATTGGTTTTTGTTTGTTTGTAAGGCTGAATAGTAAATAAATCAATCCCATCTCACGTACGTATTAACTGTTCTCTGTCCATTCTTTCATTGTGGTAATTTAGCTTGGGTTGCTTTCACCTCTTGACCATTGTGAGCAATGTGGGTATGCAAATACTGAGGTGCTGTTTCCTAAGCATTTGAACATATACCCAGAAGTAGGACTTCTGGATCCTACGGTAATTTTATTTTAAAGGAATCGTTATATTGTTTTCCACCGTGGTTGCACCATTTAATTGTCCCACCAACAGTGCACAGGGTTCCAAAACCCACCCTCCAAACACAGGGACTAAAAGAGATGAGGATGTACTATAAGGTGAACATTGTTGATGTCATGCTAAATGGACGTTTTTGGTTAATTGTATTTTGTTCTGAGTCATAATGTTCATTTCATATTCCTCTCCAACACTTACTTCCTTTGATGACGAGAATGCAGAAGAGTCATGGCAGGGAAGAAAAGGCAAACTGGCTTCCAGTTGACTCTGCCAACCTTTTTTTGTTTTGTTTTTCGACACAGGGTTTCTCTGTGTACCTTTGGAGCCTGTCCTGGAACTAGCTTTTGTAAAACAGGCTGGCCTCGAACTCACAAAGATCTGCCTGCCTCTGTCTCCCAAGTGCTGGGATTAAAGGTGTGCGCCACCACCGCCCAGCTCTTACCCTTAGAACACAGTCACTAGGTTATGAGGGACAGAACAGAGGAACTGTGGACAAGGCCTGGTTCTGTCTCACTGCAAGTCTCACAGCCTCCAACAACTTCCAAACACTTGAGTGACTACAAAAATTTAAACCCATTACTTGTGAATGAATCAAGTTGCCCTTGACAACCTCTGTCCATACTGTAGATTCATGAGAAAATGCACATTTCAACAGGTATGTTTGGGGTGGCTTACTGCAGAACAATTGATGCTTGAGATACTACCAATAGTTTGAAGCTCTTTCCATATCCTTCCCTGTTTGCATCTTACTCCTGCCTCCCCAGGTATAATTACCTATGCTTATTATTCCCAGTTCTCTAGCTTTGGGACCATTAGTTTTAATATGCATATGTAATTTTAAAAGTATTGTTACACATATAACAATAAACTGGGTAAATGATAGTCTGCATGCTTTATGTATTTATTCCCCTGTCAATGCAGGCTGTCTGTTTATACAATCTTATCATGTGCGTGTGTGGGAGGCAAGAAGGGGCATGTATGTGCCATGGTGCATGCTGGGACCTCAAAGGGTAGTGAACCCAGGTAGCTGGGCTTTCCTGGAAAGTGCTTTGGCTCACTATGTCATCTTGCTGAGCCATCAATTTTGCTCTTAAAATGCTTACATGATTTTTTTTCCCCCTTCTAGTGCTGGAGATCGAACTTGGGCCTTGTAACTACTAAATTAGGCACAAGCTCTCCCACTGGGATACTCTCCCTGCCCTATGACATGGAAGACATCCAAAGACTGAATAAATAGATTACTGAAATAAAATACATTGACAGAATACAGAAATTTGTAACAAGTCATATTTTAATATAGTTTCAAAACCACTTCCCAATATAACTACAAATTTAATCAGGAAAAATATAAGAAATATCTTAACCATTAGTACACTGCTTTAGAGTATTTTCTGAGTCTGCTGCTTACTGTCTTGAGATGACAAAAGTACCAAACACTGTGATATGACCCTGTCATCTACAGATGTGTTAGGCCACAGGTTAGGCATGCTCTACTAAAATAGTCTATTTGAGACAAAGTTTAAAAGGGAATAAAGCCCTCATAGTAAGTTGATAAAATTTGCACGAGTATACTTTTAAACATTGTTACTATAACTGTTAGTAAAACCCACCCCCATAGAAAAATTCAGCAAAAATCTTTATTAAAAGAATGTACTCGGCTGCAATAAAATCTCTGCATTTGTGTTTTAAAAATAAACAAACAGCATGTGACACATGTCTGTAGTCCCAGCAAGTGGGAGCTGGAGGCAGGAAAGGAAGAAAGATTACTGCTAATTTGAGTCCAGTCTGGGCTGTGAGGCAAGGTCCTGTCTCAAAAAGCAAAAACAGAGTGGGGGGGGGGGTGAGGGAGGGGAGAGAGAAGAAAGAGAAGATGAATAGATTTGCAAAGGAATTCTGTATGAAATCAGAATGAAATATTGATTGCTTGTGATATTGATGTGGAAAACTGAGGAGTCTAAAATGTCTTTGCTGTAGCAAACAATGAGACTTCATATAGTTGTAGCAGCCTTCTTCAATTTAGCAGAGAGAAAAAGTTCCTCTAGTATTCCTTATCCTTTACAGATTATCAATTGTTTTAATTATTTAACCCACATGGGAACTGTATTGGCTACAATAAGTGCATTACTTAACAAATTGGGTGATTCTTTTTAAATGACGTAATAAAAATGACTAAAAGCCAGGGTAGGTTGGAAAGCTGAACCCCACCCTTGGAGAGGCCAGGTGCTTTCTGTGGATGGAAAAGCAACAATTTTAATGCCCATTCTAAAATACTAACACATCCTGGGTTCAGTCTCAACTGTGTTTAGAACACAGTAAACCCAACACTTTGAAACCAGGTCCCTATCTTATTATCAAAACACAGTGAATAAAAGTGCTCATAACTAACATACTAAAAAAACAAAATTACAAATGGCTTATGTCTCATTGCCAGCAATGAGGGTGTTAAATGCTAAAAGGCTCCTTGGTATTTATAAAAGCCAAAAATATATACTCATTTCTTACTTCCCATAGTTCTAAAATTATCATTATGTAATTGAGCATAGAAGAATCTTATGACCTGGTAACTAAAGTGATTACATTAGGAGGGATGAGATGCCGGGAGCCCTCCTTAGGTGTCTCATCCCAGTGTTACCAGCTCAATAGAATTAAACAGGAAGAGAACACAATTCAAGGGGGGAAATGATTAGTTTATTTGTTTTATAAAATAGAATGAGAAAGCTTAGTGTAGATGGTCAGGAGGAGACAGTCTTGGATGAACCCATACCATTTCTTAATCAACCCCATAGCACAGGCATGGAAATCTAATTCCGGATCCCTACCTAAGTCACATTCTTCTTAAGGAATCCAAATAAAAATACTTTGAATTTTGGTTACTCTTAAAGTTAATATTTGCAGATGCCCTGGAAGCAACAGTTTGATTTGGTGTCTTGTGTCCCAAGAAGGAACAGTAAACTTAGTTCATAGCAATGCGCCCTCGACTTTCAAAGGCTGTGACCAATGATTTGAGAGTTGTAATCCACAGGCTCCATTTTTAGAATGTGTGGGATGACACTGTCGATTCGTACATTTCCAATGAGACCCTTGAAGAACAATTCTTCGGTGATGGTGGCGTTCATCAATCTCAGCGCCGGGAGTCTGAGAAGCAGCCGAGACAGCCTGGAAGGAGGGGGTGGAGAGAGCCAGGGAAAAGTCAGAGACTCGGGAGAAAAGTGAGCATGCAAACAATAAAGATCAAACTTTCAAACACCAAAGCCAAAAGTTCAGATTGTCACGGCTTAGAGCGGCATGCTGATCACCTGCATGCCACTGCAATCTCCACAAGAAAGCCCTGATTGCTCGGAACTACTTCACCAGGCTGTCTCTATTGGCTGCAAGGACCATGGGACTAAATTATTAAACCATTTATCAGATTCACTTAAGAACCGATTCCCAAAAATTCCTTAAATGGTTTAACAACAATGTTTTTAAGAACAATGCTTTATGTCATTAGAACACTGGAGTCCAATAACTCTTTTCTTTTGAAAACACACACACACACACACAGACATACCACCACACAGAGACACAGACACATATATAGACACACCACTAGACATGGTAACAGATATCTGATACTATTATAAAGAGCACCAATATGGAAAACGGTCATTGGGTTCAAATTGTGAGCTGGTGTGAAGATGAGTGACTGCATGCTATCTAGTTCTATGCTCAGGAGAAGTTCATAAAGGCAGGACTATTAGCTTGTATGCAAGTGTATCTGGAGCTGAAAATTGCTGTTCAAGGGCAACAGCTTTTATAGAAGGAGGAATGTGTAAAACTGAGAGAGCATCCTTACTCTGTGCTTTGGGTCATCAGGAAGTAAAACAAGGTCACCTGAAAACAAACCCCGAATGAGACACCTGACACCTGAGACAGCACCACACGGTCAACAGGAGAGTAGCGTGTACTGAACGGAGATGCTAGGCAGAGAGGTGACGCATTGACGGTGGGACAAAGCAAGAGAGATGACATCGTCTGCTACTACAACAGCATGCGGCTTAGAATGCAGCAATACTTCTTGGAATTCTTTAGCTTTGTCTGTGACTGACCACAGATAACTGAAATTATGCACAAAGAACCCTACTAGAATTTTGAAAAGTGGATGATATTATCGTAAGGAAAGTGAAACACAGACATTAAACCCAGCAAGCATGGTATCATATGCTTATGATAAAAACAAAACTATTCTCAATCATTCTGATTTACTGTCCTTTCTCCAGGGGTGGTGACTGTTTTTATAAAAATAAGAACGGAGAGCTCCTTCCCACCCCAAAGAACATTGGCAACAAGTACTTGGGGGGAGTTATAAGCTATGTTTCAAAATAAACTATCAGTTTGAGTGTTTTAATCCATCATTTTCTCTCTTCTTACTAATACAGTTATTGCATCTGAAAAGTTGGGCTCTGACAATTCTGTGTCTTTGAGCTAGTTCCTCACCCGCTTTATTTAAAGCACTGGTAACCAATCTGCCTAATGCTGTGACCCTTTTTGAATACAGTTCCTCATACTGTGGTGACCCCCAACCATAATTATTTTTGTTGTTACTTCATAACTGCAATTTTGCTACTGTTATGAATCATAATGTAAACACCTGTCTTCCAGTGGTCTTAGGCAACCCCTGTGGAAGGGCTCTTCACCTCCAAAGGGGTCTCGAACCACTGATTTAAAGTGAGAACTCATTAGCCATTGTAAGAGGCCTGGTGAGAGACGGTTTGTCCCCTCTGTGCTGGGGACCAAACCCAGGGCTTGCACTGTGTGTGCTACTGCTAACCTAAGGCCCTGGGACCTTCTTCATGTTTTGTCTTTCTCATGGCCCTGGGAATTTCACCCAGGAGCTTACACAAACCAAGAAAGCACTGTAACGCTCAGCTGCACTGACAGTCACATTATGGCCTTCAATTGTATCAACCACTTCAAAGGTCATGGTTCACTAAAACATTTCATTACTCTTAAAATGGAAAATGATGCAGAATAGATTTACTAAGAAGCTTTTAGGCCAGGCATGGTGTTGCATGCCTCCAAGCAATCTGGAGGCAGAGGCAGGGGGAATCATGGTTAAAGGCTAACCTGGCTCCATGTACATTCAAGGCCAGCATAAGCTACATGAGACCCTCTCTCCAAACAAACACAAATCCTTTAAATGAACGGCATTGAATCGTTTAAACCTAGTGGTACCTGTAGGTGTCATCTGGGTATGTCCTGGTGATATAATCCTGGAATTCCACATAAGCCTTTTCCTGAAATTTCTCAATGAGCTCCATGTTCTCCAGGCCTGGATGATCTGAGACATAAAAGAACACAGTTACCCAAGTCCTGAATGCTCATTTAATAATTCCTGGGTCATAGAGACAGAGCTGGAGGAACAAACAGTTCATTAGAAACACAAGCGCCGCCTCTATGTTCTCCATTCCATAAGTATTTACTGAGCACACCATCAACACCACACTGTAGCCAGTGGTAACTATTATAACATCTAATAAAAACCAGACCAGTGTATTACCAATACGGTTTTTTCCTCAAAAGTTAGAATGTTTTTGTTGTTGTTTTTACCATCTTGCTCTTAACAACAGAAAATGACCAAAAAAGCATACAATTAAAAGACTAAATTAAAAAGCCCCTTTAATCTACAAAATATTTGCAGGTTGCTGTTAAGGAGCCCATCAGATATGGCCAAGTTTAAAAGTACTTATGAAATAATGAGTTATGAGCATTTTTTATCTGTCAGAAAAATCATAATGCAGGGACATGAAATAGTCTACAAAACAGCTTGAGAGTCATGTTTCACAAAATACAAGTATTTAAAGAACTTCATCCCACTGATATCTAACTTTTCAATTTTACCTAGAGAAAAGAAAACTGGCTAACTGGTTGACCTAAATGGAGACAAGCACAGACTCGATGTGTGCCTCGGTGGCAGAGCTGTCTCCTGTCATATGATCCCGCCCTATGCTGGGTCCCAGCGCCACAAACAGGAATAGGAAGTGGGTGAAAACGGAGGCACAGACCATCAGCTGATGGGGAGCGCCTGGCTGGCACCCTCCACTGAGCCCGGGGCCCAGGCTTGCGTGAAGCACAAACGGTTTAATGTCTTATTCGTATCACTGAAAAGAAGAAGCAGGTTCTCCCCGGACAGTTTCATTAGGACATGAAGAAACAGAGTACCCATCAAAGTGAAAACACAGCTCCTGGAGGGCTGTTGATCCCTCCTACTCAGAAACCAGAGACCTTGCTGCCACTTCAATGAAAACTAGACACCAGCAGGAAAACAAGAGGCACATCTTTCTACGAGTTTGCAGTTTTCATAGTCCCGAGAGTAACAAACCCCAGACACAGCAACAGATGTCTTGCATTCTGGCTTTCACACTGCCTAACAAGATAAACCTAAGAATTCAAATAATACAGGCCTGTGTATTCCACTGGCTTTCCATGCAACTGTTTGATGTCCTTAAAATCAGATTTAGAGTGAAAATTACATGATTTTAGATGTTCAGAATTTTATATTTATTACCCTGACGAGAAGCAGTAACTCCCTGTCTCTCACTCCTTGACTCTACAAACGGCTCATTTACAATCTTCTTCGTGTCTGCCTATGTGGGGTTATTTCATATAAATGGAGTCAAGCAATTATGTGTGCTTGTCTGAGTGGTTTCTTCCACTTAGCATCTTATCAGGGTTCACCATGCCATAGCAAATATCAACACTTTATGTTAATGGTATTTCTCTGTATGCATATAATACACATGCACACCCATCTGTCTTTAAATTCTTATCACATTTAGTGAGTGTGTGTGTGTGTGTGTGTGTGTGTGTGTGTGTGTGTACAGGAATGCATGTCACAGTGCATTTTGGGAGGCTAGAGTCTTTCCTTTTTTTTTTTTTTTTTTTTAAACCGTATGGGGACGGGGACTTGAACCCAGGTCATCAGGCTTGGCAGCAAACACTTTCTTTCCTTCTTTCCTCACTTTCTTTCCTTTTTAACTGCTGTTTTTGAGGCAGGGTCTCATTTAATCAAAGTTGGCCTAGATTTGCCACGGAGAGGGGGTTATGCTCAAATCCTAATCAAGGATACCTACCTACCAAGTACTTAGGTTAAGAGCATATCCTATCAAGCCTGGCTTCGTTTATGTATTGATGGACAATTACATAGTGTCCATCTTTTGGCTACTCTGACTAGTGCCAACATGAACATTCACGTCCATTATTTTTGTGTACAAATATACTTTTTATTTTGGGTTAAATTGGATTGAATATATGCTTAGCCTGTGTGTGTGCACAGCACACAGACTTGTTATTACAGGTGTGGGGAGGGGGGCAGAGGGAGCTCTCAGGTGCCTTTCTTCTCTGCCCCTCAGTCTTGAGACAGGGCCTACACTGAGCTTATGGATTTGGCCAGGCTGGATGGCCAATGAGCTTTAGAGATACGCCTATTGCACGCCTGCTCCTAGGATACAGATACAAGCTACTGAGCCTGGCTTTTTTATTGGTTCTGGGGATTCAAACTCAGGTCTTCCTGCTTGCATGGCAGGTACTTTACCCATTGAATGGTTTCCCCAGCCTCCTAATGTTTAATGTTCTGAGGAAGTGTGAACTCTTGTCCAGGGCAACTGCACCATTTCATATTCCTACCTGCAATGGATGAGGGTTCCAATTTCTCCACATCATTAAATACTTCAAGGCGACACAAACATCCTGAGCATGGCGGTGCATCTCTGTAATCCCGAACTTGCGTACTTGAGGCAGGATGACTACCAAGGGTTCAAGTCAAGCCTGGGCTACATAGGCAGTATTAGCCTCACCATGGCTACCTGTCCAATACCCTACCTCAGAAGTACAAAAAGGACTAAATAAACATTACAGAAAACATATATACCTGGGCTGAAGAGAACTATGGCCTTCAGGTAGGCGTATTCGTAGCCATCGATGCAGAGTTTTACCATGCTGTTACAGAACTCCTGCAACTTAAAGATGTGCTCCATCAGGGACTTTCTCCTTTCAGGCGACATCTTATCTTTAAAACACAAACACACTTCTCATTGACATCGAAAATGTTTGGCCGTTTTCATGCATTTTCCTCCTCATTTTCCCTCCAATATTGAATGTGATCAGTCTCTAAACGCTTGAAATTCAGAACCTCTACATAGAGGGGAAGGTAACAAATCACCTTCTGCTGTTGCTCACTCAAGAAAAAGCAAGCATAACCTGAAACTCAACATTCCCCCTTCAGGTACCCCTTCAGATGTAGAGGATCCATCTGAAAAAAATGCCCAAGACCAAAGAGGACCAGGCATGAAGCTCAGCTGGCCGAGTGCTTATCTGGCGATTAGGAAGCCTTAGATCCGATGGCCACTACTACAAAAACCTGTGTGTGGGGGTGAGCACCACCTGTAGTAACACCTGGGAGGTAGAGACAGGTGATCAGGAGTTCAAGGTCAACCTTTGATACTTAGGATGTTTGTGACAGTGTCTCAAAAGAAACAAACAACAAAACCAAAGTACTAAAGACCCTGATGTTTATAACAGGGTTTTGTTTAAGCTTATTTCATTTGGAAAAATGAGAAAGACCATTTTCAACTTTAAAAATTAGAACCTCTAGTATAATAAAAAGAATGAGCAAAATACATTGCTAAGGCCAAAGAAAAGTTGAGAAAAATAAAGTTTTACAGCATTTCAGCTTATCCAAGTGGGAATGTGTGGAAGACGTCTAGAATGTTTAATGTACTGCGGCTTTCCAGAAGGTATGCCATGTAATACAGGAGCAGACAGAATGACTCAGGACCAGGGGATAGAAGGGAGTGTGCCGCTGTCGTCTGCGAGTTTTCTTGCAGATGAGATTAAAGTGATTTCTCAGCCCTCTGGGCAGGAAAAGTTGATTTTAAACTAATGTAAAGAAAAAAGTCAGGCGTGGTGGTGCACACCTGTGACCACAGTACCTCGAGGCTGAAGCAGGAGAGCGGCCTAATGTAAGCCCGAGCTCAGTGAGTTCTAGGTGAGGTGGGGACTGCGAGGTCAGACTCTGCTAATCGCAACAACAGAAACGGAAGAAAGGAAAAGGAGAAAACTTGGAGCAGTGAGAAGCTAGCATAACCCTGATAGCCAGCCCGTGCCGTGGCGTGGGGCTGTGAGGCGCTCAAGGCAGGAGAATCTCAAGAAGAGACTGAGCTTGATTAAAAACAAACACAAAGCGAACATCGGGAAATGCAATGTGCTAAGGAACTGAAAAGTTCAAATGTATAAATTATTCCCGAGCTTTTAAGGAGTGTGACTTTCTAGCTCTCTCTTCTTTTAAAGAAGCTTTTTGGAGTTAGAAGTGGTGGTGTACACCTTGAATCCTAGCATTCAGAAGGCAGAGGCGGGTGATCTCTAGAATGTCCCGGGACAGCTTGACCTAGACAGTGAGACCATGTTTACGTAAGGTCTGCTATGAAGTCCATGATGGCCTTGAACTTGTGCCTTCCTGGTGAGTACCACTGTTTCCAACATGTCTCCATTCTCTTTAGATAAAGAATAGATCCTAAGGTATTGATTCGAAAGCAGCTGATCATGTGACTCTAAAGGTTCTTATGAAGAAACACAGCTTTAGAATTGAGAGAAGTACACATACTTACATATTTGATCTTTATCTATATACAAACTACACATGGATTTTTATATCATAAGGCCTACGTGATGATTTGAGGTTTGTCCCTGCCAAAATTCATGTTTGACTTTGCCTGCTAAGGTAGTGGTGCTGGGAGGCAATGCCTGTTAGAGGGGTTAATGTCTCCCTGATGAGCTTAGACTCATTCTTGGGAAAGCAGGCTCTTAGAGGCAAATGTGTATTTCTCAAATGTGTCCTCTCTATTCTGGAGGCATCTGCTTGATAACCCAGTCTCAGGAATTATACTAAAGACAAAAACCTGACTACTAAGCCCTTTAGGCTTAAATACATTAGCCTTCATATTTCTCTCATTTAAAAATAATTCAAATGATCAGTGGATTTATCAAAATGTTAAGATTACCCTGAGTAAAAAAGGTGAAGCATCCGGCTATTCTACTTTGGCCATAACCTTTTGCAGAGCTGGCAGCTCCTCATCTATCCCTGAAAACATAATGAATAAGGTGTGTTTTTTACCTTGCTGAAGGCTACTGTGAAGACAATTGACAAATGTTGCTAATATAGTTGCTACGTTCATCACCTGCCAGCACTGGGCAAGACCAAGCGTGAAGAGTTCGTTCCAATACGCTTTTACCAATGATATACTGTTTTCTTGCCTAGTAAGGACAGAAACAAAGGCATACATCAGATATAAACTTCACAATTGCTCAATGCACTGAAAACACCAAATTACCACTACTCTAAAAGATCCACGGGCATACACCTGAGAATTCTGCTTTGTACAGTTGGCAGAAAAAAAAAAAAAAAAATCTGGGTTTTTGAGGATGTAGAACAGAGAAGCGTGAGGACTTTAAAAAGCCAGCTAGAGACTGGGTAGTGGCACACACCTTCAATCCCAGCACTTGGGAGACAGAAGCAGGTGGAACTCTGAGTTTGAGGCCAGCCTGGTCTACAGAGAGAATACCAGGACATCCAGGGATACACAGAGAAACCCTGGCTTGAAAAAACCAGAAAAAAACCTTCCAAGCAAATTAGCAGATAACTAAATTGTAGGGTTCCTTCTCTCTCCAAAGAGATTCAAGTTAGTAAGAATGTGCTGTTAAGAAACACACTGATCCTGGTGACTGCACATAAACTATTTCCTTCTGGAAAGTGCCACAGGGTATCAGCGAGATGATCAACAGGTAAAAGTGCCTGTCATCAAGCCTGGCCACCTAGTGATCCCCAGGGCCTATACCGTGGAAGGAAAGAACTTACTACTGCAAGCTGTCCTCTGATCTTCACATGTATGCTGTGCCATGTGATACCATCCCCCAAACACAACATAAAACAAACAAACAAAAAAAACAACTTGCAATTTTAAGCATATAAGTATACTCAGGTACACTCATACACACAAATAAAAGGAAGATAATAAAAAGGCACAAAGGCTAACATTGAAACCTAAGAGTTACAAAGTAGCTGAACATGGTTGTGCATGTGTTTACACAAAGCACGGGGAAACTGAGGCAGGACTGTGTGAGCAAGAGGTCAACTTGGCTGGCATAATGAGTTCCTAGCTAGTCTGCACTCCAGTGTGAGATGCCGGCTCAAAAGCAACAAACAAATGAACCAAAACCAAGAGTTTACGAGAAGGTTTTCCTCATGGGAATTACTCAGGTAAGAATTTTACTTCAGTACTTGGGAAAGACAGCCTGCCAAATGCAAAGAAAAGCAGGATTTATAAACCTTCACACAGAAAAGACTGTAGAGAAAGCCATCTCAGTTAAAAGCAAGGAAAATAAGACATTGTGTTCAGCTGTCAGAAAGAGTAAAATCCAGTATCAGCAGTGAGGAGGAACGCATCAGCCATCCACTGCTGTCGTAGGGGAACTATCAGTGCCTCCTAGGTACAGCTTCTAACTATCAAAGGAAACATGCATCCCTTACAGGACCTAGCAATTTTCCTAGAAGGAACCTATTTTAAGGAAACAGTAATGCATGTTGACAAACTGTACTTGGTAGCACTGGGTAGAATATGAAAGCTGGCAACAGCCCAAATGTCTACTGATAGAGATGAGTAGATAAGTTATAATACTTCCATAAAGGAGGCAGCCATTGGGAAAAATGGGAATCTATATGATAGTATAATGTGACAATCGAGGGAAATAACAGGATGTGGCAGTATGTGAAGGTGTTTGTATGGGTTGATAACCACGGCATGGAGAACTGTCAGGACTCTGGACTTTTAACAACAGGGTTAGCTATTTCTGGAGAGAAGGTTTTACTTTACAGTTCTATACTTTAGGCGTGAAGAAGTTAAAAACAAACCAGCTTTCACCTTAAGCTCTGATTATGAAGTTTAAAAGGAAAGCAGCTCACATGTTAACAGTGTGCTGGTTTGAAGGAGAGTGGTCCCGCAAGGCTCCTATGTGTGACTGCTTCTCCCAGTCAGCAGAATTGTTTGGGAAGGATTGGGAGGTGTGGCCTGGTTAGAGGACATGTGTCACAGGGAGTAGGCTCTGAGGTTCAAAGGACCAAGCATCCCCAGTGTTTCTCTGTGCCTCTTGGTTGAGGTTCCAGATGTGAGCTCTCAGATAGTGCTCCAGCACCATGCCTGCTTGCCAGGTGACACTCTCTCGGTCACTGTAAAACGCTGTCACTCTCGGACGCTGTAAGATTCCCAAACCTTTTTCTTCTATTAGTGACGTGGTCGTGGTATTTTATCACAGCAATAGAAAAGTCACTGTGACAAATGGCAAACGCAGGACAGTAAAAAATAACTAGAAAAAAATATCAGAGCTGGTCTGTGCTACCCTTGTATTGGAATCACCTCGGCCTTAAAGAGAAGGCCCACAGAACAGCTTAGCTCCAGTGCAGAGGTAAGGTAGACACAAGTAGCCAAGGCGGGCAACTGAGGGCAAACTACTAGATTTGTTCATTGCCAGACAAGAAGTTACAGAGTTAATTGTAGAAACCAATTACAGAAGGATATCCATCTAAGCTCATTCAAAACAGAGTTCCAGCTAAGAATGGGGTGTGTGACTATCACCTCAGCACTTGGAAAGAAGACACAGAGGGAGCAAGGGTTCAAGGCCAGCGTGAGCTACAGTGAGTTAGTTCAAGGCTGTCCTAGAATCACAGCAAGACCCTGAATCACGGACATGTTTGCTCTCAGAATTCTTCCATTAGGAAATCAATGACTACTACAGTATCCTTGTAGCACCTATTTTCAAAATATCTTTTTTTTTTTTTTTTTTTTTTTTTTTTGTCTGAGAAGCAAACAAAATGGATAGAAAATGCATTTAAACTAGCTATCCAAGTCCCAGAAGGTCCCACAAGTATCAACAACAACAAAAGCATTATGTTGGCCAAGTCACCTATGCCTGAGAACAACCCCACCATTTGGCATCCACATTAATACACCCAGTGGATTACCTGCTACTGACATCTGTTTGGACTGAACCCATGGTCCTTAGAGAAAAACAATCAACGACATGCACTAAACTCACCAAACTAAAGCTTTGAAACAATCAGGTTACAGAAGAGATTATGTTGTTTTCATGGGGTCATGGAAGATTTAATTTTCATGTAGTAGATTATTATAAACTCTCTGTGGCAAATGATGGTGGCCTGGAACTTTCTGTTCTAAGAATCTAGTCAGAGTTGGCCATGGTAGCCCATGTCCCAAGTCCCAGCACCCGGGAGACTAGAGACTGGGGGCTGGCGTGAGTTTGAGGTCAGCCTGGACTAAACAGTTAGAATCAGGGCAGCGAGATAACTCCGTAGTTGAAGCACTCACTACTGAGCTGACAGTGTGAGTTCAAACCAGAAACCAAGAGGGAATTGATGTACCCCAAGCTGGCTATCTTCATATATCCATGTGTGTGCCTTGTAATGCATGACACACACATACACACACACACACACACACACACACACACACACAATCAGAGTAAACAGTCCTGCTGCTCTCCACACTAGGTAAATTACACCAAGTAACCCCAGCTTCTTAATCTACTGGAACTGTGGAGTCATTTACCTAAATCATGCAGAATGAATTTCCTACGCATTTAACTACAGATCTTAAACAGAAAATCAACATTCCTATTAAACATACAGCTTTTCAAAATACAAATGACAATAACCAAATCCCAACCCATTAATTCATCTAAGTAAACGTGCTTACTACCACTGTGTGTGTCTCTGCAAAATTAGAGCTCTGTGGACAATTTCTGTATCCAGCCAGAACAATTCAGCACACACATCCCTAGTCAGGGTGAGGACAGCTTTTATCTCCACAAAACAGTTCCCTGCCATTAGCATCCAGCTCTTATCTGATGAAGTCAACTCATAAAAAGGATTTAAAGATTATCTAGGCACAGATAAGAAGAGTTTATGTAGCAGCTAATGGCCTGGATTGTTAGCTCAACAGCTACTCTAATTAAGAGTCTTGTGGCTGCAGCACAGAGACCGATTTCCAATACTTAGCAGAGAAAAGTGGCTGCCATAGAAATCAATTATTCTTTAAGGAGAAACCTCAGGCTCTGCTCTTAGTTTCTTCACCATCTCAGCTGTTTCCATGGGATGAGCACATTCAACAGAAGTACTTAAAAACAATGGTGGTGTGACTAATTGAAAGAACGAGTGTACACCTCCAATTCTTTTCTTTTACTAAGAAAACGGATGGTTTATTCTGGGGGGGGGGGAAGGTGAGTGGGGTGGGGATTGAGATTGCTTTTCTGTACTAAGTGTGCCAGTTATGAGCGTGGCTGATGGCATCTAATGCCCAAACATCAGCACATCAATGTTTTTATACCAGCTTTTAAAGTTTTTTCTTAAAAATATTGGAAAATTACTAAAAGCTCAGTGTTATTCTGACACAAAAAGGGAAGGCTCCGTTGTGTATATCACAGTTCACTGATTAGCTGGTAACCAAATCATGGTATCAACTACATCCCATGGGATCAGGCTCATTTCAGTTTTTTTTTTTTTTTTCAGTCAAAGTATTCTATAATGATAGGAAGGGTAGTTATCTCCACTTGTCAAATGGGAAATAAATGTGTCATATGCTCTAAATGACATACTTCAAGTGAAGGTCGGCAAACTTTTGTAAGGCTTTGACTTCTTGGAGTATGTCACTTTCCATTTCTCTCAAAGCAAAACAGACATGATCTGGCATAGTGCAAATTTCTAAAATGGTCTTTGGAGGTTGGGAGAGGGAACCAGACAACTGGAAAGCAGTTGTAGGTGAATACAGCTCCCCAATGGCTGTAATCCTGGGTTGGGTACCGAAACAAGGCTGCAGGGGACAACTACCCAACAGGAGCACCCAGCCTTTTGACACGGCACGCGACACCGCCATCTACAAAGTTCACTCAAAGATCACATCATCAAAGTACAACAAATAAATAAAATGAACACATCACAAAGCTTCTATATTGTCTTATGCTTTTATAGCTATCATTAGCTGTATGTAGCTCATGGCCACGAGGCAGGATATGTCTGTGTTCTAATACATTCCTATCTTTAAGAAAATGTGAATATGAGTATTTTGCTTGCATGCATGTCTGTGTGGCAGGAGCAGAGTCAGAAAGAGAGTGTGAGGTCCCCTGGAACTGGAGTGAAGAAGATCGTGAGCCACCAGGTGGGCGCTGGGACAGAGCCTGGGTCCTCTGCAAGAGCGGACAGTGTACACGCCTGTCATTGTGTTACCCAAAGATGGCCATTGCTGGTGCTGGCCATGAGTTGTCTTCCCCACTTACCCAGGTCATTAACTTGTTCAAACTATAAAACATGGCTACTCTGCCATATAAAAAGTAATAGAGCAAAAAAGTAGTTATCATGAATTATCACATGAATAGAATGGTATACTTTTTTTTTTTTCTATTGTAGTACAAATCCTTACCAAATAAACTTCTTGTTTAAATACACGTGTGCCACAAAAATCACATTTATATTCAAGGACTTCAAAACACTCACCCTAGGGCCTGGAAAGAAGGGATGGAAAGTGCCCAGTGTATCGACAAGAACAGCAGTCTGGAGGCCGACTCCCCAATGTAGTGCACATTCAGGTACTCGGGCATAGGAGAAGGCATGGTGAGCTAGCATGAACAGGGATTTAGGTAAATCATCTTATGACTTAAAGTTCTTTGAAAAACTTGAATATGAACATAACACATCATATAGGAATCCAATACCTTCATCTAAAAAATCCAATACTGAGATAACTCAAGTCACTGGATATTACAGTAGTGCTTACAAGGAGAGAGCAGATCATAATTACATCTGGACAAACAGACCCTCTCGGACTGTCCACCACGCGATGACTTAGTTTACTTTATGAAGTTGCTGTCTTGGTAAATCTGTGTGTTCTCTCCCGCCACTCCCTTCTCTACCAATGCAACACAGTACACTTCGGGCTCAAGCAGCCCTGGATACTGAAAGGTCCTTCCCGTAGGTTACAATTATGCTGGCAGAGACAGCAGGTTAGTGAGCTTGAAGGAGGCTGCTGGGGCCAATTGAGGAGAGCATGCTCCCAGACTCTGGGAGGAGCTCCCGCCTGAACTCCCAGACTCTGGGAGGAGCTCCCGCCTGAATGAAGCAAAGGGAAACATGGGGACACCAGGGCTCAACACTGACACTCCTTCAGATTTTCAAAGGCTAGGTCTGCGTGCGCAGTGTCACCCTATCCTAAAACATTGTTACCAGACACAAAAGTATGCTTTAAAAATGTTCTATGGGAAAAACATGCGTTCATAGGCAAGCAACTCAAAAGGCTATCAGTTTGTATTATTACAAAGAAATAAATAAGTGTAAAAAAAAGAAAGTTTGGTTCGACTTTAGATAGCTATTGTAAGAGTCTGACCACAGTGGATACAACGGAAGTCTGAAAGCATTCTGGAAGTCTAAAGGGAGGTAACACCAGTACATGTGGTGTGCGCCTGTTTGGAATCAACAGCTGACCTCAGAGAGAGCCTGGGAAATGAGTGCTAACAGTGGCCAAAGGGCTCAACCGGAGGAAAGCTGGGTGTTATCTACCAAATGGAAACTGAGTTACATCTTGGGACCTTAAACACTGTTGAATGACCCTAATCCAGAAACATTCTGGGGATCAACGGTTAAAGTCTCACACATTGACACATCTTGGATATTTGGATCAACAGTGTTCAACTAGTAACAACTGAACATTAACCCCCAAATCTGAGGAACTGGAAAATCTGACACACTTCTGGTCCTGGGCGCCATTTCTAGATTGATTCTAGAAAACACTTGCCCAAACACACAAAAAGTCGTAGGTAAGGACATCCATTTTAGCACAGCTTCTAACAGTGACATTAAATGCTGGTGACAACCCAAATTTCCAACACCAGAAAAAAGAACAATGTCCACTATAGAATATCTTAGAAGTATTAAAGTTAGCAAGAAAATAGAGATGACAGTAAAAACAAAAATCTGCACACCTGTAATCCCAGCTTTTGGGATGGTGAGGCAGGAGGACCAGAGCTTGAAATTGAGGCTAGCCTGGTCTATGAAGCAAGTTCCAAGCAGTCTGGGCTCCAGAGAGAGATTTCTTCCCTCTAAAATAAAATAAAACAAAACAAACCAAAAACCCCTCATAGACACCTAAGTAGGAAAAAGTAGCAAAATAAAATGCAGATGACCCAGTTTCTGCGGAAGGGTCTGGCTTTGGTGCCCACGAACAGAGAAAGGGCATGAAGCCACAAGGTAGTGAACAGCGACTGCCTGAGGGACGGGCAGGGTGTACAGCTGTACCGTGTGTGTTTTTCTTTCACTGTGTGTGTTCCTGTGTGTGCGAGAGCACATGTGAGTGTGCAGGAGAACATGTGAGTGGGCAAGCTAGAGGGCGACCTCATTCCTAACACATCACACCATTCACCTTTGTAGAGAAAGTCTCTCACGGGCTGGAGCTCACTTGGGCTGACTGGCCAGGGAGCCCCAGGGAAGCTGATCTCTCCACAAAGCTGGGATCACAAACCATGGCAGCACGGCTGACATTTATTCATTCATTCATTCATTTATTTAAAAACCATGAGCCCTGGATTTAAATTAGGCCTTTGTGCTTACAAGGCTTTATTGGTTGAACTATGTTTTCATATCCCAATATTTTTTTCCTAGGGAATTAACAGTTTTGATAAGATTCTCAAAGGTATCTATAGTGCCAAACAGATCAAAAGGTTTTCATCAATAAGATATAGAAGTTCTCTATAAATGTCAGGTAAAATGTAAAAAACAAGGGCTGGAGGATGGCTATCTGGTTAAGAGCACTGGCAGCTCTTCCAGAGGACCCAGGTTCAATTACCGGAACCCACATGGTGGCTAACAATGTCTATAATTGCATGTCAGGAGATCTGACACTCTCTTCTGGGCTCCAAGGACACTGCACACATGTGGTGAAGGCATCCATGCAAGCAAAACGCCCAAACAGACACACATAAAAAAGTTTTCATTAAAGTAAAAAAGTTAAAGTTGAATCAAGAGCAGATAAACAATTTCAATAGACCTACAACCCCTTGTGAAATAGAGGCAGTCATTAAAGCCCCAGGGCCAGATGCTTTTAGCACTGAATTCTATCAGACTTTCAAAGAAGAGTTAAGTCAATACTCCTCAAATTATCTCACAAAATAGAAACCGAAAGAACCTTGACAAATTCATTTTATGAGGCCACAGTTATCCTGATACTCTTAACCACATAAAAACACAACAAAGAAAGAGAAGTCCAAACCAATTTCCCTTATGAACACAAATGCAAAAATACTCAATAGAATATACTTGGAAACTGAATCCAAGAACACACCAAAAAGATCATCTACCATGATCACGTAGGCTTCATCCCAGAGAAACAGGGATGGTTCAATATATAAAAATCAGTAAATATAATTTGCCATATAAATAAACAGAAAGCTGATTTCTTTGACAGAATCCAATATCCCTTCATGATAAAAGTCCTGGAGAGATCAGAGATACAAGGGACATACCTAAATATAACAAAGGCAATTTATAGCAAGCCTATAGCCAACATCAAATTAAATGGAGAGCAACTCAAAGCAATTTCACTAAAATCAGGAACACAGCAAGGTTGTCCATTTTATGCATATCTATTCAATACAGTGCTTAAAGTTCTAGCTAGAGCAATAGGACAACTGAAGGAGACCAAGGGGATACAAATTGGAAAGAAAGAAGTCAAAGTATTGTTATTTGCTAATAATATGATAGTATAAACTATGGATCTTAAAAATTCCACAAGGGAGGCTGGAGAGATGGCTTAGCAGTTACTAGTACTTGCTGTTCTTCCAGAGGACCTGGGTCCAATTCCCAGCACCCACATGGCAGCTCACAACTGTCTGCAACTCCTGTTCCGGGGTGCTGACATCCTCACACAGACATACATACAGGCACAATAAATGCACATAAAATAAATTTTACAAAATTCCACCAGGGAACTCCTACAGCTGATAAACACTTTCAGCAAACAGGCTAGATACAAGATTAATTAAAAAAAAAAAAAAAAAAAAAAAGCAGTAGCCACCCTGTATACCAATGACAAATGGACTGAGAAAGAAATTAGGGAAACAACATCCTTCATAATAGCCTCAAATAACATAAAATATCTTGGATTAGCTCTAACCAAGCAAGTGAAAGACATCTATGATTAAAAACTTCAAATCTTTGAAGAAAGAAATTGAAGAAGATATCAGAAGATGGAAAGATCTTCTATGCTCACAAATGAGTAGGATTAACACAGCTAAAATGGCTATCCTACCGAAAGCAATCTACAGATTCAATGAAATCCCCATCAAAATTCCAACATAATTATTACAGATCTTGAAAGAACAATTCTCAATATCTTATGGAAAGACAAAAATCCAGGAGAGCTAAAACAACCCTGAACAGTAAGAGAATTGCTGGGAGCATCACCATCCCTGACTTCAAGCTGTACTACAGACTACAGTAATAAAAACCCCACATAGTATTGGCATAAACACAGACATGTTGATCAATGGCATCAAACTGAAGGCCCAGACATAAATTCACACACCTATCTATGGACACCTGATTTTTGGTAAAGAAGCCAGAAATACACACTGGAAAAAAGATAGCATTTTGGACAAATGGTGCTGGTCAAAGTGATATCTGCACATAGAAGAATGCAAATAGATCCATATCTATCACCCTGCACAAAACTCAAGTCCCAGTGGATCAACAGAAAACCAGATACACTGAACCCGATGAAAGAGAGCCGTGGGGAACAGCTTTGAATGCACTGGCATAGGAGATAACTTCCTGAACAGAACATGGATAGCACAGGTATTAAGATCAACAACTAATAAATGGGACCTCATGAAGCTGAAAAGCGTCTGCTAGGCAAAGGACACTCACTGTCAAGTAGACAATGGCAGTAGTCTACAGAACGGGAAAAGATTTTTTTTTAAATTTTATTATTATTTTTTTTTATTTATTTTGAGACAGGGTTTCTCTCTGTAGCTTTGGAGCCTGTCCTGGAACTTGCTCTGTAGACCAGGGTGGCCTTGAACTCACAGAGATCCACCTGCCTCTGCCTTCCGCGTGCTGTGATTAAAAGCGTGTACTACCAATGCCCTGCTGGGATATATATATCAAAAAACCAACGGATCCAATTAAAACAAGAAATACAGAAATCTCAAATGATCCAGGCAGTGGTGGCGCACGCCTTGAATCCCAGCACTCGGGAGGCAGAAGCAGGTGGATCTCTGTGAGTTTAAAGCCAGCCTAGTTTACAGAGTGAGTTCTAGGACAGGCTCCAAAGCAATACAGAGAAACCCTGACATGAACTCCCCCTCTCAAAAAAAAATCTCAAATGGTTGAGAAACACTTAAATATTCAACATCCCTCAGGGAAATGCAAATTAAAACTACTTTGAGATTCCATCTTGTACTTGTCAGGATGGCTCAAATCAATGACACTAGTGACTGGTGAGGATGTGGAGCAAGGGGAACACTCCTCCATTATTGGTGGGAGTGCAAACTCGTACAGCCACTATGGAAATCAGTGTGGCAGTTCCTCAGAAAGTTGGGAATCAATCTACCTCAAGATCCAGCTATAC